TTTTTTTTTTAATTGTGAATCTCAGAGTTTGAAACGATGCTTTTCTCCAGTTGAGAGAGCCTCTATTTCTAGGAAGAAGTTCCAGGCCCCTCCGATGAGGATCTGCAGGTCCTACGACTAAGAAACATTTAGACGTTCCTTGGCCCGATTGGGAAGCTGTGAGTCAGAGCACTAGAAATCTGCCACCTGTGTTGGGCCGCTGAGGAGGAGACTCGTCAGCTTGCCTTTCTCTGGGTGTGCAGATTGTCTGGGAGACACACGATCCTGCCGAGGAAAGGGCTGCTGTTCAGAGCCCACAGCGCACGTACCACACCAGGTGTTGGGTACCCACTCCTGTGACTGGCCGCATTGTTCTCCTGTCACTTGGGTTGCAGGTTCAGAAGGGATATGAATAGTAGTGGCACCTGCCTGCATTTAGAATCCTGCTCTGGTGACAAAGCAAATGAGGAAACTCCAAGCCCCCCAGGAGGTGCCTGCTTTAGGGAGCAAATGCCAAGTCCGTGCCTGGTCCAGTGCCTGACACTCATAGTCGGAGCATAAAAAAGTATTGTTTTGAGTGGGTGAAGGTCCCTGAGTCACACAGTAATGAGGACATAATTATCAATTGTGATTTCTTTCATTAACACAGTAGCTTTCCCTTTCAGTGCTTTTGCATCTGTTTTATGCACTGAGTTGTTTCAGCATGGGCCCTCTTCTGCCTTAATCATTAGTGAATTTGTTCTCCTTACAGCGTGTCCTTCTTGGTTAAGGCCTGTCTTACGTACAGCAGAGATCGGCACTCACACTTCTTGGTTCTTCTGGGCTTAGTAAAAGAACTAGGGGCAGTTCAGCTTAAAATGAGAGAGCTCACATGGGCAGGAAAGACTCGTGGGGTCGAAGGACAGGTCCTTGCTCTGCTTGGCTCTAGGAAGCCACAGGGGCCTAGATGTTGGCTCAGTCTAAAGGAAGACCCGCCTTCCCCACTTGCAGGTGATTTTTAATTTTTTGATAGGAGAGTAATATTGCAGTTCAAAACAGAACACTTCAGAATTAAGAAAATAAAATGCATATACTCCATTCTTCCCCACTCCCTGTTAGTTAGCTCTTTGACGTTCCTATTCCTTCAATCAGAAGATATTCCCTGAAGGCCTACTGTGTGCCAGGCTTAGTTCTGGGTTGCTGGAGATACACAGGAGTGAACAAAACAGTCTGTGACTCTGTCCTTGTGGGGCTTATATTCAAGTGAGAGAGACAGACCATAAAAGAAGACAAATAAATACAACATATACTGTGGTGAGCACTGTGAACACAAATGAAGCAGGGTGAGGGCTTGCGTGCTCTGGGCGGTCAGGGAAGGCCATTCTGAATCCTTCCTTCCTCTTTCTCTTCTCTCTCTCTTTCACTCTTTCATTTTTCTCCCAGAAATAGGACCTTCGTATACATACTATTCTGCAACTTGGTTTTCTCAGCTCACAATATAAGGTGGACCTTTTTCCATGACAGTGCATCAAATGCTACCTTCGTTCTTTTTAATGCTGCACAGAATTCTGTAAATGCATGTATATGTATGTGTACATGTACACACATACATACACACCCATTGTGTACACACATATGAACACATGTACACACATGTGTATGTGCGTGTGTGTGCATATATATATTTAATGGGATCATATTGTAGACACTATTTTGTAGCCACTGAGGTGCACGGCAGAAGCCTGAGTGTCCCATTTTGGACATAATGACTGTACGATGCAGTGATGTGATCCAAGAAACAGGAAACCTGTTGGGCTATTTTTTCATACTTTGCATAAAGTTTTCCTTATAAGTGTTAAGTGACCTTCAGCCCCTTCATTCTTTTTTCTCTTCTTTTCCTCATTCTCCCTGTTTTCTTCCTGTTCCGTCCTTCCTTCTACACATCTGTTCTTTGCATGCCCCTGGGTCTCTTGGGGCACGGCATAGAGGCATGGTTACATTCATCTGGCTGCTCTCACGGGAATTTTTATTTTAAGGAGATGAGGACCATGCTTAAGTCCAAAGACAAATCTTAGGCTTCATGTGGCACTTGCTTGGGGCAGGTGGTTTGGTGTATGGAGGGGGGCAGGTGCACCTTGCTTCTATTTGCAATGCTTGCCCAGAGGGTCAGCTCGACTTTTTTTAATCTGTTGTCCTTCTCTTTTCTTGGATTGTATTCCACCCTCCGCCAGTATATAACATTCATTCATAAAGTCATTCATTCATTCATTCGTTTATTCAATCAGTCAGTGTTTGAGCTGTTCTATTCTACCACAGGCCTTATGCTACTCATTAGGTAAGTGAAATTGACAGTTTCTTCCTCTGCAAAGCCTATGGGTTTAGAGGGGGAGGAGAATGGGAGGGAAAGAAAGATAGTAACAAAAAATACACAAATAAATACATAACAATATCATTTGCATTGTGTTATGTGCCCTAAAAGGAAAAAAAAACCCCACAAATCCAGGAGGAACCTGATTTAGATTAAGGGCAGGTGTCGGGCCAAACCTCTCTGAGGAAGGGGCCTAGAAGCTGAGCTCCAAGGGGAGAACAGAGGTTGGCTAACTAGGGGAGGGTTGGAAGACAGGCTAGCCAGGCCCAGAGGCTGGAGGGGCAGGCCAGGCGCAGAGGCTGGCCTGGGCCTGAGGTCAGATTGAGTAGGTCACATCACCGAGAATGAAATGGGCCAATGAGGCTGGAGCTTGGCAGATTGTAGGAAAGCATGGGGTTGGGAGGTGGTTTGGCGTCGTGTTATACCATGGATTGATGCTGAGAGCAGTGGGAGCCATTAAGAAGTCTGGGCAGTGAAGCCACACAGTCCCACAGACTCTGGCTGCCACAGAGGTCAGAGTGAGACCAGGTGGGAGGCCACTGCAGGGTCCAAGGACATGGATCAGGATGGTGGTAGAGGGGAAGGAGAGAATAAGATAGGCTTGAGATGTAGGTTTTGGTGCACAATTAATTGCCCGTGAGCAAGTTGGAAGAGTCCCTGGAGGGCATTTCATCCAGGCTGGACTGTGGTGAGGGTGCAGCTTGCATTGCCTGCTTGCTGTTTGGAAAAGGAAAATGAAGGAGAAGTAGGCCTTCTCACACATCAGTTTTCCTCCCTGGGTAAAGGAGACTTGGGCTCTGCCAATGGGGTGCTTTTGGAGATCTGCTGCCTCTGCAAAGCACAGGACAGGTTTGCTCAGACTTGGAGGCGGTGAGGACTGGAGGAGGAAGGCACAGGGGGTGAGAATGATGCTGCCCTTCATGGGCCCTTAGTAGCACCAGTCATGGAGCCTGTCCCCAAGCACTTAGAGGTGGGTGCTGCAATTGCCCTGTTTTACAAATGGGGAAACTGAGGTCCTAGGAGGTGGGGTACCCTGCTCAAGGTGACATAGACAGGTCTGTCAGCTTCCAGAAGCAGTGTTCTTAACCGCCATGCTACTCCAGCAAGCCTGTGAAATGTAAGGTGTAGGGGATCACACTTCAGGGATGATGGAGTTTAATTTTTAAATTATTTTTGGGCATGCATTCTAACTGCTTGTACTTCCCACTGCTTCGGCTACTTGTTTCTTTACCTGTCTCTTAACTGCTGATATCTAAGGCTTTCTATCCCCGAAGTAATGGTATAGCAGAACTCAGGCATGGAGGAGCTAGTTCTTTCTGAATCAGAAAGTGAAAGGCTGTATTTTGGATGGAGTGATTATTAGCTGGAGCTTTGACAAAGGAGATGCAGTTGTTGCTGTTGCTCTTCAGAAGGTGTGAGAGACAAATAGAAGTAGCACCCAGTTTGGAAGCTGATTCTCTTCTCTCTTCAGAGATACAGTTATGGCAAGGAAAGAAACTTTCCAATTTTGGCGAAAGACTCCTTATGCAGGAGTATATTTCTGGGTCCTGAAAATGAAGTTCAGTGTTTGGTTCTCTCCACCAGCTCCCTAAATTTAGGCTGTATGATTCAGTAAGTTGCAAGTGTGTGTGGGTATACACGTGTGTGTGTGTGTGTGTGTGTGTGTGTGAGAAAGAAAACTGCATATTTTACTTGTACATAGTGAAATATAACCCTTGACTGACCTCCCCACCTTCTTGACTGATCAAATACATGCTTTTCTATGGTGTCCCTGGGTGTAGACCTTGTTTTTATTTGCAAACAAGTTTCAGATGGATAGTTTTCTGTTGACCATAGGTACTTTTCAAAAACGTGAATGTCTCACTCTTTAGAAGCATGTCAGATTTAAAAAGGAGTGGGATTTTGGTAGTGGTTGCTTTTCTTGCCCATTGCTATTCTTTCTCTAATAAAGAGTGCCCGCTTTCAGGGCTGTGCTAACCATTGGATACACTGTCCATATTGCTACCAGGAAACTTAAGTGGTGGAGAGCAGGCCATAAAAGCCAGAGGGACGTGAATCTCCACTTTCTTTAATCTTGCCTCTTCCTTGTCTTAACTATTATGTTTTACCTTTATTCTCATGGAGATGGTTCGAAAGCAAACAGACACAGCTGTAGGATTTTTGGAAAGGCTGTGGTTGAAGGAAACTCTGCCCATAAAAGAGAAAGGAGAGGAAAAAGGAATCCATTTAATACAAAATGACTGGAGGGGGAGAAATCACTCATACCTCATTATTGACGCGTTCCACACAATTAGTGTGATCTTGAGGGAAGAACGTTTGAGCCACCCACAACCTCGAATATTCTCATTGGGTAGATGTAATAATAATGCACTTCGCAGTGAACTCTCCCAACACCTCGGGCAGTGATGGGGAGACCCCATCTTAGGGCTCTCAGTCTTGGCTCTGGCAGGGCCCCTCTCCCTCCCTCCTTCTTTGAGCAGGGAGAGGTTAAGCCTGGCCATTAACCCATAGGTGACCCATATAGCATTTTCTGTCCCAGGGATCCGTTGATTGCCAGGTATGGCTTTGTGGTAATTCTAGCATTTGCAACCCAGCAATCTGAACCTTCTGTCTGCCTAAATGATGATTTTACATTGTAATGGTTGTACTAAATCCTTTCGCTTTTGCTCCATAGCCGCTGTTGTGACAAGAAAAGCTGTGGCAACCGAAATGAGACTCCCTCAGATCCCGTGATAATTGACAGGTAGGGACCACTCTTCTTTCACTGGGTTCTTATTCCTCATTATAATGAAACACCTGCCCTGTGTCGCTCACGGGCGAGGGTTAGGAATGCATGTGGCCGAAATTTGCCTGTTGGTCCTGACTTAAGCTGCGCCGAGCGATTGCGATTCCTGGGAAAGCCATATGGAATGTTCTTTTGGAGGCCTGTTTCTTGGATTGCTCTGGTTTTGTGTCTGATTCATGCTCCTAAAGGAATATATATATATATATATATTTTTCTCTTTCCTGACTTTCTGTGGCTCAATCCTCATGCTGTGCCAGGAAGCTTCAGAAATAAAATAGTAATAGTTTGTGATTTATGAAATGTGGTTGGGTGCTTATAAATATTTAACTTTTATTTGAAAAATGTTTGAATCATTATCACTTTTAGCTACAGTAGTTCTGTTGGACGTAATCCATCTACATTTTAAGGTTTTATTTATGCATAAAAGCAGTTTAAAGAGATCTGTGAACCAAGATTTTCTACTGTTATTTCCCGGGTTTGATTGCAGCTCGTACTGTATTGTAAGTTGATTAATTTATCTTGCTTGTCTTAATTATTGTGTTTTTAAACAGATCCATATTACTAATCTGACATGACCAAGTAAATCACTGTAGAACAATAAATCTGTTTTAGTTGTTCGGTGCAATTTCAAGTCAGTGTGTGCACACATTATGCAAAATCGCATTCCAAATATTCATTTTACATTTTAATTATTGAAATTCATTGTATGGAAACTTGTATGATAAACCATTTGTTACATAGCATTACTCGTTGAGAGTTAAATGGCCTGGAAGGTTTATAGATACTGTCAATTGTCAGCTAGGAAAAGAGCTAGCATCTTCCACTAGCTGGAAAAAAAAGTCTTGCCAATAGGACTACCCGAGCTCATTGAGGAAATCAACGGCCGAACAAAAAGGTCCCTTCTTGGGTTTTGGTGTTACTGATTTTTGACAACAACAATAACAAAGCACCTATCTGTTTTTCCAGTTCTTCACCTTTTTGGGGTTTGATTTATCATTTTTCAGTTAACAAAAAAAAAACCCCAAGGTGTCTCCTTTGCGTCATCATTACTTATGTCAACAGACTGATTGTTGATTTTTAACCTATGTTTTTCAGACTTAAACCCAATATTGATTGCCGGTTGGCTTTATAAAGGTTACATTTCAAGCAGTTATTTTAATTAAATATTTCTTGCTTCTATTCACTAAAATATATATTTTTGCTCTATATCAGAGTGTTAGTATATTTGACTCAAAGTTAAGCGACGTGAAAATTTACTGTCTAGTGACGTGTGCTGCCTGTGACACAGGATAGCGTGTTTGTCTGTGAAAGCAGATAATGCCGTTCATATAATTGCTTCTTCTGCGATGGAAGATAAAAGTCTTCAAATAAATAAGGCCAAAACCAAATTTCACCTTCATCTTATTTAAACATATCTCTTCAAAATATCGTTTGTTATTTTAAGCAAGTTTTTCTTACTCTTCTATTAAGAAGAAAGTGTACTGATGAAAGGACCAGCCTAAATATCCCCCCAAACTTTGGAACTGTAAACAGCCACACAGTTCCCTTTGGTTCAGATGATGACAAGAACCTTACCTTACCACTCGCAATGAAAACACTTTTCTTTTTTTTCCCTTGCTTGCGAATGGGTTGAGCTTTTAAGTTCTTCGTCTGGTTTTAAGCTGTGACTTTGATATGGAAGGTTGATATGACTGTGGTTTGAATAACATTTGATTTTGACCTGTTTCTGTGGGTTGCGATGGCATAAGAAACTTGACTCAGCAGCGCTGTAATTAGCCCCGGCCCCTGTTTTTGAAACAGGATTGTGTTACCTGGGTTGCATTAGTGTGGCTTCTATTGTGGCCGCTTCGCATCTGTCCCAGTAGGGTACTTAAAACCTTTCCTTGGCTGGGGTAGTTCAAACAGTTTAGGCAAAATAAGTGTGCACTTTATGCTGTTGGTGGCTTTCGAGATATTACTCATGACATTTATCCTTTTTGTTTTTTTTCTCTTTTGGTTTGACAAAGTGGAAAACAGTGTGTAGCCAATCTTGGTCTCTTCAGATGAGAATGAATACTTTTAAAAACAGCTAAAACATAGTGTACGTGCACAAGTCCCAGCATATGTTTATTTGCTGGCTGTTGCCGTTGTCTCTCATGAACTATCTTTTCATGCAGCGATGCCAGTTGATATGCAAAACCCTATTTAGCTATTTTTATTTGCATCTGAGTTTTCAGAATTTATTTGTCCTTCGGTCTGCCAAAGGTTTTAAACGCTCCAGTCCTGTCTGTGCTGATATGTGAAACTTCCATTTTTAACAGCAAGAGAAGAGAATAACAACAACAAGAAAAGAACTTATGCAAGGGAGGGCAAAATAGAAAAGATTTTTCAATTCCATAAAATTGCTGCAAAGGGGAAAAAAATGATGGCAACCGTGTTTGAATTTCATAGTTTCCAATTTGATTCTATATTACAGATTGCATAATATCTGTGTTACGTGCTTAGGGTTTGATTTGCTTTCAGATTTATGGATGCGAATCCCTGAATATTTTGTAAAAATAGGCTATGGGGCCTGCATTCAGTAGCAATAGTAACTGTTTTTACATGATGCATACACTATGCAATTATAGAGCTGAGGATACAGGCAATCCTTGCATTAGGATTTAGCATAGTTTTAACACACAGTCACCTTTTGAGCACCAATAATTTTTAGTTCCCTTTGCTTGTCCTTCGGAATTTGGGAGAACGCTGCTATTTTTATCATTCAAAAGACTTTTAGCAGCGGTTATTCAGGAAAACTATTTATAGGATAGAGAGAAGAGGCTTTCTGGTCATACGGCAATGGAGCAGGGCAAGCTATTTCTGTATTAAATTTTGGCTCTATTGTTTGTTGCCAGTGATTTTGGGACATCAGCCTGGCATATTCTATCAAAAAAGTGCAATTAAAAAATTAGTGATTGCATCTTGTGATTTAGAAAATGGATTTGTACTTCATTCTAATGGCATGCACAGACTAAGAAAAATATGACCCAAATTCTTCTTACAATTGTGACAATTTGTCAAGGCACTTCTAAAAAGTTTATAGGAAAATTGCTGTAAATGTAGGAAGTATACTTCTGGAGTTGGCTGCCAGGTTGTGTGTCTGCCTGATGCCACATAGTTTGATTGAGAAGCACAAAACCCAGCCTGTGCTGAATGATCCAGGTATTTGGGCTGCATAGACATGGGAGAAGTCAAATGTGTTATGTTTAATAGCAGATGACCAGGAACTAATAACAGCAAATTTCATTATTGTTGAGGTAAAGGGCTATGTGTGGTAATTATTGTTAAAGTAAAAAGCAAAAAATGACTTCCAGTTATTGAATTATGGTGGAAATTGATTTAACATATTCACATAGTAACTCATATTTGAATTTAAAAGGTTTGCAATAAACTTCATGTTTAGAAATTGAATAAATTGTAGTTTTATTACCACATTGGATATCCTTGTGTCCTAACCTTTTTCCTTGGAGTTATCTTAGTTCAATAAATAAAACCTCATTAGACTATTCCCATTTCAACGAGTTTATTAAATTTTGCAGGAGTAATTAGCATAAGCTGTGCTAATTTTTCTGGAAGACTAATGAGGGAGGTTCTTAATTAGGTTTACTTTGTAAGAATCAGAAAAGATGATAATGACAAAAGTCACATAGGGTAGTCTGAATTGGGAACCCAGTTTTTCTGCATCTATAAAAAAATCTTCCATTTTCTATATGGAAACTTCTTTATAAATGCTTGAACTGAATATATTAAGTATGCAGCCTATTATTCTATACTAGTTAGGATTACCATCCATTCTTGATTTGCTTCACAAAACTCGTTATTTTCCTAAACTATCTTTGAGCAATGACATGGATGAATACAGATGGTCTTACAAAAACATTTCTTTCTCCAAATTATACTATAGGATTCCTTTCACACGGAGCTCTGAAGTTTCTGGCTAGATTTGTCTTGCTTATTTCCAGTAGGGCAGGATAGGGGCAGCTCAATATTTGTTTATTTTTCAATTTAGGATCAGTGTGATTGGTGAGATAGTTAGATCACTAAGTAAGAGATGACAATATGAGCCCAATTGTTCATTTCCTTATACTGTGAATCCTTAGCTGTTAACAAGTGGGATTTTTTTAATAGATAGAAATAACAAAGGATGAAATTCCTGCTCAAATTAGGTTCTTCTGTCTCCTGTGAATTTAGATGTAGTCCTTTCAGAATATAATGTGCCCAAGAACCTGCAAGTTTTGGGGTCCTCAAAGCCAGTGTTTAAAACATGATTTTTTAAAAAGCCTGTCAACTATTATAATGTACCTCTAAAGATTTTGAGTTTGTTTATTGCAATCTTAACAGATTTGCCGTGTCTTTATTTTGCATTTGAAAGAATCCCTGTATGTATATTTAAAGCTATGAGATCTAGAACTTGACATGTGACATTAAAAAAATACACAAATTTTATAAAATGAAAAACCTAGTCTGTTCAGAATTACTTCAGGCCACACTTTACCCAAGGGTCTCCTATAAAGAAAAAACAAAGCCTGTATTTGTTTTTTCCAGAATTGTCTAAAGATCTTCCACATCTAGATCACTTTCATTTAGGTAACACTAATTGGGTTTATTTTATGATTGTCTGAAATAGAATGTTCAGTAATGAAAATATTAGAATGCTCATTTTGCCTGTTGATTTTACATGATGTACATCATATGAACAGAAAAAATTAATCGTATTAGTGTTAGAGAGACAATTTTATTGAGGATTCAGTTTTCAACTAAGATGTAAAAATGTTGTGGTAAGACTTCAGAAAAGTACAGTGTTGCCTTATCCAGGCTAATTTTCTTGATTTCCTCCCCCAGTGTATTTATGTAACATATATGTCCATCTATATAATAGGAAAATAATAGAAAAACTTTAGGCTTAGGATATATATATGTATATATATCCTATATAT